AGGCTCCGCACCCCCAGGCTCAGCACCCCCAAGCTCCGCACCCCCAGGCTCAGCACCCCCCAAGCTCCGCACCCCCAGCAGGACTGGAGTCACCAGTGACCTCAACAGGCGCAGGCAAGGGAGGGTCTACCTGAGAGACACCTCAAGGAGCAGGACCTGGCGCGGGGAGGGGGTCTACTTGGGGAGGACCTGGAGCAAGAAAGAGCGGCGGGGGGGGGGGGAAGAGGCAGTGCGGTAGGGAAAGAGACGGTAAAAGGGGACGGACTCGTCAAAGGTGACGTCCTGAGACGCAAAGACACGGCGCGAGGCAGGGTCGTAAAACTGCCAGCCAGGCGCGTCAGGAGGAAAACCAAGGAAGACGTAGGGAATGGCGCGGGCGGAGAGCTTGTCCGCTGTGGTATCGCGGACAAAGGCACGAGCACCCCAGACCCGGAAACGCGACGCATCGCCAACCTTCCCCGTCCACAGCAGTGTGGGCGAGGTCTCCGGCAAGGAGACACGGGGCCAGAGGTTGAGCTGATGCGCGGCGTACCGGACCGCAAACGGCCACAGAAAATGGGGAGTCGCCGCATGGATCATGGAGGTACGAGCGACCTCCATGACTAAGCCAATGCGGCGCTCAGCAACCCCATTCTGCTGTGGAGAGGCCGGAAGCGTGAACGACTGGGTGATGCCGTGCTCCGCACAGAAGGCTGCCAAGAGGTCAGAGGAGAACTCACCACCTCTGTCAGAGTGCAGACGCAGGACATGAAAGTCCGAGTGGAACCACTCACGGAGCTGGAGACGAACAGCGCGGATCCAAGGGATCAGAACAGCAGGGACATCCGCCTTGCGCTGCAAGGGGAAGACCGTGGTGTAACGCGTGTAGTCGTCGACAACCAGCAGGAAGTACCGCTCGTGGCCCTGTCCACGGACGCGGGCTGCACCCCACACATCCAGGTGGAGAGTCTGCAGGGGAGCCTCTGTGGGAGGGAACGAGGGGGAGTGAGGAGCGGCGCGCTGCCGCCCCTCAACACAGGGAATGCAGGGCGGTGCAGGTGAGGGAGTGAGGGCAGGCAGAGACCTGGGAAGGCCAGAGATCAGGAAGAGAGAGTGCATGCTACGAAGGCGAGGCAGGGAGGGGTGACCAAGGCGGTGGTGCCACAGGAGAGTGTCGTGCGACAAGCGGCGACACTCACACTGGGTAGCTACCTGAGCAGACGCGTACAGCTGGGGAGACAAAGGGGTGGAGCGCGACACAGTGGTGAGGGTGTACAGACTGGACCCAGGCGCACGTGTGAACGTGGCCAGGTGGCGGCCGGTCCGAGAGCACATGCAGATCGCCACACGCTGCCCTCCAGGAGTAAAGGTGTCAACCCAATTATCCTGAAGGACGGCGTTGCTCACCAAGTTCGTAGAGAACGAGGGGAGGTGGAGACCAGACAGCTCACCAGACGGGACCGCCGGACACGGAAGCACAGTGGAAGACCGTGCAAGCACTGGGCCCCCAGAGGGGTCAGCCAGTGAGACAGGGACAGGTGCAGGGAGGGGAGTGACTGTGGTGCTGTCGCGAAAGAAACAGCGGGAAGCACCAGAGTCAAGTGTAAAGGTGTGCAGGGCCAGTGTGGACGCAGTACCAAGGGGAGCAGACTCACAAGCACCTAGAGCTGCAGGCGCTATACCTGGGACTATACCGGGGTCAGGCGGCACACACAAGTAGCAGTCACCCTCAGCACTAACAGTCAATGCATACATTGCAGCAATGATAGCATCATAGTCAAGATCAAAGATAGGTACATCACGCCTAAGCAGGTCTGCCCAGTTGGGGAACTCAGTAGCATCAGGAAACTTGACGCGCCAGGCGTTGCTAAGCCGAGCGAAGCAGCGGTACTCAGTGTGAATGCCGGTGCACTGTCGACCAGCGCGGGGACCTGTGCGAATGATATAGGGGCAGCGACCAGGACCCCCAGACGCCCCATGCCCGGCATACCAGTCATGAAGCTGCTGGGAAGTGGGGGTCTGGCGCTGACGCTGCTGCGGCTGCTGCTGCTGCTGCTGCTGCTGTCCCTGGCCACCACCGGCCTCACCCAAGCCCCCACCACCGCCGCCACCACCACTCCCCCCTCCGCCACCACCGCCGCCGCCACCGCCACTGCTCCCGGCACCACCACCGCCCCCACCACTGCCTCCACCCCCACGACCACCGCCACTACCTCCACCGCCCCCGCCGCCTCCACCACCGCCCCCTCCACCGCCACGTCCGCCACCCCTGCCACCTTTGCCTCCCCTGAAGCCGCTGCGCTTCCCACTTGGAGCGGAAGCAGCTGCGACCTTCTCAGCACCAAGGAGGTCGACAGCAGCAGCTGCGGAGGCGTAGGAGGGGGTAAGAGGGGAGGGGGAGCACCCCTCAAAGAGGGGAGTGCGGGGAGTACCACGAGCAGCACCTACAGCTAGAATGTTCTTCTCAGCTGCTAGGAGGTGCTTCTCGAGGTCGTCGACAGTGAGAGAATGGGGGTCAAGGGCGAGGAAGTGGTCCCTGACAGAGCGAAGAGTGTCAGGGAGGCGGGTGATGAGGAAGTAGAGAGTAAAGTACATCGGGGGGTGGTTCTCTGCGAGGAAGTCGGCTGGAAGGGCGGCACGAAGGAGAGTGTCACTAGCGCGTAGGTGAGAGATGAGGTCCTCAGCGGTGGTAAACGAGGACAGGTCGGGGAACAGGTAGGGTAGCATAAGTCGACCGAGGGCTGCAGTGGCCGGGGAAGAGTAGCGCGCAACTACAGCGTCGTACAGTGCCTTGGCATTCTTGTGCTGGCTAAAATGTGCGCGCTCTGTGATCGGCAGATGGTTGCGAATAGCTAGGCGCGCAGCAGCATCGCGGGTCTGCCACTGGGAGCGGTCTAGAGCAGGCTCAGTGTCAGCAGGAGCAACGGCAGTGCCAGACACGTAATCGAACAGGGAAACACCGTCCTTGGCATCAGTCAGGAGGAACCGTTGCAGGTCGTCGAGCCAGATGGCGAACTCTACTGGACGACCGTCAGGATCGAACGCGAGCACATTAAGCGTCGCCATAGTAGCAGTGCAGGCAAGGCAGCGGAGATGGCGCGCTAGGCAAGCAAACACGCGCAGAAGGGAGGCACGCGTGGCAGGAAAGGCGCTCAAGGCAAGCAGGCGCACTTGGCAGGCAGGCGCTCAAGGCAGGCAGGCGCTCTTGGTAGGCAGGTGCTCAAGGCAGGCGCTCCAGGCAGGCGCTTAAGACAGGCAGGCGCGCGGCTCACGGGCGGCGCACGGGCAGGGCACACGCGGCTGCGGGCTGCGCGCGGCGGCGGGCTACGCGCGGCTGCTGGCTGCGCGTGGCGACGGGCTGCGCGCGGCTGCGGGCTGCGCGCGGCTGCAGGCTGCGCGTGGCGACGGGCTGCGCGCGGCTGCGGGCTGCGCGCGGCTGCTGGCTGCGCGTGGCGACGGGCTGCGCGCGGCTGCGGGCTGCGTGCGGCGGCGGGCTGCGCGGGCGGGGCCTAAGCGGGCTGCGCGCGGGCGGCTTAAGCCGCGCGCGGGCCGGCAGCAGGCTGCGCGGGCGGCTGACGCGGCGCGCGGGGCCGAAAACGGGCTGCGCGGGCTGCTTAAGCGGCGCGCGCGGGAAAAAAAAAGGGCCGCGCGCGTGCAGCCGAGGCGCGCGCGGGCAGCAGGCAAGGCAGGCAGGCAGGCAAGGCCGTAGGTGAGGTAACGCGGTAACCGGTGGGCCCTAATCTTAGGTCCTAAAGGCCTACTGCTCTAGATACCATCTTAGAAACTTAGGCAAGAGTGAGTTCACTATCGAGAGAATTGGTACAAGGAGAAAACCCTAAGGGGTTATACCCCACATAATCTACCCCACTACAGCCTACCCACAAATATAATATATGCATATGATTGACAGAGGCTTGTGCAACAATGGGAAGGGGTGGAGCATGGAGGCGACAAATGCTTGGGAGCCAGTGGGAAAGGGCGTTTTTTCAAACCAGCTGTATGATGAGGAGGATGAGAGTTACAATAGGCAGGGCTTTGGAGTGGGTGGGAAGGGGAGTGTGTGCTACATGAACCAACTGTACATGGATGAGGAAGAGGAGCAGAGGAGTCTCCTGGCAGCAACAGGGATTTCAGTTGGCATCGGCAGGTTTGGAGCACGACGGAGAATAACAAGCTCTAGCAGCCGAGTCACCCTCCGGAGAATGAGTGCATCTCTTAAGAAAATTCTAGGATAGGTTAGAATAAATGCCTGATAGGCATGAGCATCTGTGGCTAGAACCACAAGCACTGGACTGCTACTGGTGTTGTGTACAATAGGGTACCAGTAGGCTTGTGCTGCCCATCTATTGACGAGACAGCATGAGTGACGTGAGTTGCCGTAAAAATCGCGGTCACGTGGTACTTGCCGATGACGCACTGGCTTTCTACTTACGTGAGCCTAGGCCGGTGAGCCAAGCAGCGGGCCAACATGAGCGACGCTCGGTTCTGTGTTGCGATTGTGCACAAAGGCCAATGAGGAGAGAGTGTCGCTAGGCGTTGTCCAGAGTCGCGAGAGTTCCGTAAGAAAAAAGTAGGGTAACCCTGTTTTTCACGATTTCAGGTTCAAGAATCTTGAACTTGAAAATAACCATGCTGTACCCGGGCTTTAAAGCGCAGTGCGTTTGTTACAGTGAATATCTGTGCCACATGTTTGGAGTGCTACCATCCATAGCATCACAGGGACTAGTCAGCAGCATTACGGTATCAGAGATCCAGCCGTTCACTTATTTCACTATGTACATGAATCACCCTCCCTAATGCCTCTGTGCCCCTAAACTGAAGGCCTTATTGCAAGATTGGAAACGTAAGAAAAGCCCTGCACTGCAGTGACCATCAAGACGGAATCATGCCATTTCTACCGTAGGTGCTGTTGTAGGAGGAAGGTCCTCCTGTGCCGTTGGTACGGTACAGTACAGGGAGTGCGTGCGTCACTTGGTGATGAGGAGGCGCGTCACTTCACTTGGTGATGATGAGGGGGCGCATCATGGAGTTGTCCTCATGCTCCACAATGTGGCAGTGCCACACATACCCCGGTCCGCGTGTCGCGTCAAAGGGGAAGGGCGTGCCATCCTGGGAGTACCAGGGCGTCCAGAGGGTGAGCACGGTGCCGGGCGGCAGGATGGTGGTGTCCTTCCACCCGCGCTCATACGCGGCCACAGACTGCTGCGCGCCAGTGAAGCAGGAGGGCAGAAGGAGTTGGTGAAGGAGCAGGCGCCGCTGCTGTAGGCGGCGAGGTCGAAGGGGCGGCGCCACAGGGGGCGGTGTTGAATGAGGTGCAGGTGGATGGGGTGCGCGTCGGGCGTCAGGTTGATCAGATGCCACAGCTCCTCTGAGTTCTGTGAAGTGAAACACACACCGGTGTGACACAGCCAATAGGGGGCGCAAGGAAGAAAAGAGAACAGAATCACCTCTGGGGCTGATCGTTGGGGCATACAGAAAATACAGAAGCCAGGGAGGGCGCGCAGAGAGAAGAACCAGCACGAGTACAGAATGGGACTTGGGGTGCCTGCACTGCACTGCACTGCACTGCACGTTGCATTCCCCCATGGGGAGGGACTCACCTCCCTGGGAGTCTCAGTGGGCGGGGCGCTATAGGGCAGGCCGCCCAGCAGCAGGCGGATGGACTGCCCGGTGGCGGGGTCGGTCTCCTCCACGGCGGTGATCCACCGCTCCAGCACCACCTGGGATGTGTCCACGGGGGGCACCGGCTGGAGGGCGCACAGAGAGAGGGGGAGAGGAAGGGAGAGAATGGGATGGGATGGGACATCAGCAGGTTCACAGAAACGACTTCCCAGGAAGAAACGGCACAGAAATGTTTCGCCTAAGCAGGGGCGGGCAGACTGACCACGAGGGTTTTGGGAATGCGCGGGGCGGGCAGGCGGGGGCTGTGGTGGTCGACAATGAAGCGCATGACGACAGCCGTGTCGTTGGTCACTGGCTCGCCCCCAGGGAAGGGCGCCCGGGCGTCGTTGGTGAGGATGACGTCAGCACAGGAGGAGCGCAGCGAGGAGAAGTCGACGAGAATGTCGACTCCACTAGGAGGGATGTGCGCACCGCTGGGCGCGGCAGGTACCCCCCGTCCGACCCAATCTGATGAGTGGTGGCAGGAGGGGGTAGCGGGCAGTGGGAAGGAGGGGATGTGTAAAGGACAGAGATAGGTGAAATGCAGGGGGTTGGTACAGTGGTGCAGAGTGGTGTGGAGTGGTGCTGGGGAAGTGGGTGCAGCGCAAGTGGGGTCCAGCATGCACCACGATGATGAGCAGTGGTGGCCACGGAAGGGAGGAGTGAAGACAGGGTAGTTGCGGGAGGTGGTTGGTCAGGTGGAGGGGATGGTTTTGGGGTGCGGAGCGGTGTGGAGTGGTGCTGAGGAAGTGGGTGCAGCTCAAGACAATTCATAGTTCTTCACACGCACCACGATGATGGGCAGCTGGTCGCCAGAGAAGGGCGGAGTGAAGTGGGGGTAGTTGCGGGGGGTGGCGCAGACGAAGCGCAGATTGAAGAAGCGCGTGTTGGCCGCCCCCAACACTCGGAAGCGGTACAGCGCCCTCCGCACGTTCAGGTACGGCCACACCTGCCATGCATGCCGTGCAGCAGGGAAGGGGGAGAGCCAAGGGGCGAGGAAGAGTGGGGAGATGAGAGGGGGGGAAGATAGGGGACAGAGGGCAGGCAGAGGGCCATGACAAAAGCAAAGAAGGACAGGAGATCAGGTGAGCTAGGATGGCAGTGGGAGCGTGGGAGTGGGAGAGGGAGTGGGAGATTGGGAGCATGGGAGTGGGAGATTGGGAGCGTGGGCGCAGGAGGGGCAGAGGGATGAGGTCAGGACTCAGCACCTTGCCAGTGACGAGGATTTTATCTCCCAGGTATTCGGGCACCCAGTGGGGGTGCACGCGCGGCACCACGCCCTGGCTCGGGTAATCAATCGACCCGTTGGCAAAGAATCTCCGGTCCGACAGCGCGAGCGGCACGCAGAACTCCCCCTGCGGCAGCCAGGCGTTTAGGGTTCTCTCCACCCCGCGCGGGTCGGTGAGAACGAAAAAGCCGGTGAGGCCAGCAGCGATGTTGAGACGCGTGATGGAGATGGTGTGGTCGTGGTACCAGAGAGTGGTGGGCAGCTGGTGGTTGGGGTAGCGGTACAGGCGCGTGCGGAAGGCGCGCCCGACTTCGCTGTATTGGGTGAACCACGCCTCGGGGTGCCCGTCTGAGAAGGACGGCTGCTCGCCCCCGTGCCGGTGCGTCACTGCAAGGGGGGGGGAAGGGAGTAGAGCAGAGTGAGCAGAGAGGCGTGATGAGAGAAGGAGAAGGATCGGAGAGTCAGCATGTGCACCAAGTTTGCGGTGGACTCTTACTCTACATGGGGCTCACCAATGGGAATGCCGCCGAGCAGTGGGCGGGGGACGTCGTCGAGGGTGTAATCGACGGGGAACATGTGGTGGCGGTCCGTCAGGTGGTTCTCCCAATACACCTGCCACGACCCCCCCGTCCCCCCGGCACAAGCACACAGCACACAGTCCCGGTCAAAGTCAGCACAGTCCCGCACACACGCATTTCGAAAGGCACTCGAGAAGCACAGCACAGGCACACGAGGAGCGGCGGGCGGGGAGGCAGGCGGGGAGGCGGGCGGGAGGCGGCGGTACCTTGGTGGGCACGCCGCGCTGGGCGACGAGCGTGGGGCCGGGGTAGTGCGCGGTGGAGGCGGTGCGCCCATACGCGTACAGCTTCGTGGGCGGCAGGTCGCGGTGCAGCTTCTGTAGCCCGGAGAATTGGGGAAAGGGGCGGCGTAGGAGGACGGGGCGTCAGGAATGGGCGAGAGGGGAAACCAGTCACATGGGAAGCGAGACACGGGAAGCGAGAAGGAAAGGAAGCTCGCATGCGGAAGTGAGTGCGGAAAGGCAAGAGGGTGGAAAGTGGGCAGTTGGGAGCTGGCCTGGCGTATCTGGTAGGCGCCGATGCGGATGGGCGCGCCGGTGGCGGCGTCGATCTGCTCGGGAATGGAGTCGCGCAGATCGTCCACGAACTTGCACAGCCGCGGGAAGCTGCTCACGCACTCCCGCCCCGCCACATGCGACCCCGTTACAGTCACCAATGCGCCGACGCACGCGGCGACTGCTGCGAGCAGCAGCGCGAGACGGAGACGCGGCGGGAGAAGGGCGTGGCGAGGCATGGCGCGTGGTGGTGCGATTGAGGGCGCAGTGGGAAAGGAGCAGCGACGAACGGACGAGACGGACTGCGGCGGTGAGTGGCGCGGGCTGTACTCGCAGCAGGTCGGGCTGTTAACGAGTGATTGCGACGGTCGGTTGATTTGCAAGAAGCGAGCTCACCGAGAAGATTATAAAGCTCGAACGGCACTGGGCCACCACGGTGCGGATTCGACAGAGTGCTTTCGCGATTCGACTTAGTGCTGTCGCGATTCGAGGCCAATATTGTTGGAAAACGTCCGGGCGTATTGAGACGGCTCAGTCAGACGGCGACGCGCATGCTGGCCTCTCGTGCGCCTTGGGACTGCTCCGGTGACAGCAAGCCGCCTCCGATACGTAGATTGCATACTCGCCGTCGATTAGGCTCCGGTGACACTCTGATCTGATCGACAGCCTCACAAATTGCCATATCGACGTTGGATGGACTAGATTGACAGACTCTGATCCGATCGTCAGGGAATTCAGCGGCAGGCTGTGGGGCTGTCAGCCAAGAGAGCTCCGTGATGGCAGCCATTGTCCCCCCGCCGACCCGTAGTGACTGACCGTGATTGCTCTGCCTATACGACTCATGCTCTCTCCTACACTCCAGGCGACGTCAGGTTGCGCATTTACAGTTCTTGTAACGTGGCTCAGGACAGTTTCGCACGGTGGAAAGCGGTTGTCAAGATTTACCGTTTCGCACCGTGACGAAACGAAGTGGACCGCAGTGTGCGTGCAGAAGTTGTACAGCCTGACATCGCCCTGAGCTGAGGATTTGATAAGGCGTTATGAGTCAGCTCCTGTACATGTACTACGCAGTAACCATGCAATACAGATTTTGCACTGTGTAGCTTTTAAAGCTCCAGTATACATTTGTCAGTGAGGTTCAGGGTTTTACAGTGTGCCTCACAGTTTTGGGGCAACTTTTCAAGTTCCTAAGGATTTTGAACCCTTCCTTTCAAATGTATACCGGAGCTTTAAAAACCACTCGTAGCAGGGTATCACTAGGATATGTTGTCTGCCTGGAGCGTTGTTTCATGGGTCGCGTTAGTTTTCCTGAAGTTAATTCATATATATAATTGATAGTCCCATTGTCAAATAAAGAATATATTAGCATGTCGTACCTTTTTCCTTTATGTTGGTTTCGGAAATATAACAGGATATTATGTATTTGTAGTCCTTTATGAGTGGTGATGCTTCTGTTGTTCAATAAACGGTGGAGGGCCAATATACAGAATCGTACGCGATAAAATCAGGTGTGACATCATGAATCACGGGTAAACACTTTGATAGAATTACGGGTATTTGCGTGTAACATGGTTTAGGAGAGATTGAATGTAAGTCCTCTCCTAGCACCACATAACTCACAGAAGCAAGCAGAAACCGAGCCGCACTGGCAAGTCCACCAGAATACAGCGAACCCCCCTTCGCCAAGCACATCAGAAAGAATAACCCCTCTGCATTGCAATAGTGTGAAGAGCCTTTTCCTGAACGACGTCGCTCGCGACCAGTAGTCAGTCGCTATGGAGCATCCATTCCGGAGTATGTTGAGGAGATCCAGTTCTGCTAGTGTCCTACCATCCGACGAGTGTGAGCTGGAAGCTTCGGGAAAACAAGTATGGACCCAGATCGATCCTAAAACGCTTTCCTGAGTAAACAAACAAACATCTGAGGGGTTCGCCGAATTCACTTGGACCTTGTGCAGGTTCTCAAAAGCGCTTCCCGTCAGCCTGAGCCATGGTCTTTTTTCGGTCTCGATAGAGACCAGGTATAGTATGCCACTCCTCTTCCGCTATTTACTCTCTGGATTTTATCCTCACTTTTTTTGTCATTCAACGAAGCATTCCATGTTTCAGGTTTTCCACTCCGCATTTGGATGTTTTATGCATCGAAAAGTACTCGTCCAGGTACATGGTAGCAGATTCATGCATATCTAGTGACTTCTTCTTTCAACGAACTTTTGGCTTCCAGGGTCGCCTTTATCTCTTTGAAACTGAAGCTTGCTTTCGTGGACACTATCTCAATGGCATTATCACGGTATACTCACAAATTCGTGGCTTTCATACATCGCTTCAGCTAACGTTGTCTTTTGTTCTAGATTTCGTTGAACTTCCGGGACATGACAGTGGTCCGCAAAGCCAAAATTGCTGGAGTTGTCGGCGGCATTGAATGTCATATGGCGAATGAGAAGAAGGTACCTCTTTTGTTGCCGTTTGTTAACAATGGTCCTTGTTTCTGACGATTGGTGGCTCTTTCCAGTATACATTCATATGTTTGCAGCACAAAGAACGTGCCTTGAAGCTGCTCCTTGAGTTATGGAACAAGTCCAGGGACTCAGTAAGACTGGCTTGATTCTAGTCCAGTGTAGGTGTCTCGGTAGCTTGCCGAGGTGCTCCTGTAACATGCAAAACTGATTGCACAGGTCGTCCAGGACAAAGGACTCTATGGCGCTGACAAGATGACCCGCAGTGAGAGTCTATCAGATCTGTCAGTGTCCTACTTCTCGTCATCTTTATTATCTAAGCCAGTGCGCCCTTTCTTACACCACTTAAAAAATGCAGCATTCCAGGAGACGTAAACTTTGTGCCAGAGGGTGCCAGGAGGTCCAGATGTCGATCGCTTTCAGTATCTGACATGACCATGAGCTCTGGATACATGGACCAGTCTTTCAACTGCTTGTCCACGGAGCAGCAGGGTGCAGGTGCACATGATAACCAGGAAGAATTGTACTGCAATGATGCTAGTTTCGCTTCTGCATCCGGATCCAAGCTTCATTTTATTGGTGAAAAGAAAATCCAGGTTTGTCAATGCATTTGTTTACCGTCTCATTTGTCACTCCTAGTTCAACAATTTGACAGTAAGTTTCATCAGGCAACCGTGGAAAACGTGTTTCACTCCTTGTTCTCGGACAACGCAATTTCCTTTCTGGAGCGTTTTCACACCTCGCAAGGAGACAAGAGTATGTATTTCGTTTCCTTAGGCAAGTTTCCTGTCCGTGTTTGCTTAATGCCATGGACTTTTGTTTAGCAGGTTTTCATTGCTCGAGATGGTCTATGGAAGAAGAAGGCTCCACCACCAGGACTCGGTGCATGTCATTCGAACACCCAATTGACTATTTTTTTGGACCAAAGTCGACAAATTGTGAGGTCGTTCAGCATCTTCAGCAGGAAAGCGATGGCAGTTTCAGTATTGTTGCATTGCAGTGCATGCCAAAGCTTCCATTAGGAGACTACTTCTCAGTTAAGGTAATCAGCTATTGTCCCTTGATTTCCAGTATCACATCTTGATCACGTTACCTTTCAGATGCTGTGGGAAGTTCAGGCGTGCGATCACGGTGCATCATCCCTGGTCAAGCTGTCTCAGTTAACATTATTTTCGAAAAAGACAGTGCTTAGACCTGCAATCGAGCAAGGAGCAATTCAAGCAAGCATTCAGTCATTCGCGCTCTGGTCTGAAAAGGTATGCTTTTGCTCCTGCCCCACCTGACAGGGTTGAATATTATGTCTGACGACCCCTGTGCAATTTTGGCTGGCAGGCGATCCTTGAGGTGGAGGTGCAGAAAATGATCAAGGTTTCTTATGCATCGCACGTTGTTGAGGCACACACGTTTGTGGATTGTGCGAAGGCTATGATGGGTGTGCATCTTGCTGGTTGATTTGTTTTGGTGTGTGTGTGTCTCATCCTGACACTGGTTGTTCGTTTCAGACAAAGAAGGACTGCCTGCCAGGCTTCGCCAAGAACTTGCCTACATACTTCAATACACGGCTGATCAGTGCCTAGCAGACGGAGCAACTGGCGGTGCTGCTTCGACCCATTGGAGCCCAATACAAAGTGCCAAGGGTTTTCTTAAGGCACACAGGTTGAACACTTGCCTGATTATTTTTTCCGCCATACTAATGTGGTTGGCACTTCTTTGGATCTAGAATCAGTTACATCAGTTCCGGAGGTGGCTATGTTAAACATCACAACACACAGATGAGGCTTATTCAATGAGAGGCAAACTGGAGAAAGTCTATGGTCAAGCAGACTTGCTGTTGCTCGGACGTATGATGCAGGTGTTCGGTATGCATGAATCATGATGCAATAGAGCATAAATTGCACATTGATTGAGTTATGCTAATCCTTAACCTCTAAATTTTGATTCTCCCATCTACTCGGGAGGCGATTCTGATATGGACAGCCTTCTAGAAACATGTTTGGGAAAATTATGTATACCTTGTTATTAACCAAAATACACATCTGAAGGGATGTCCGAAGATTTATTGAAGCAACGCGTTTGGCGAGTCATCTAGTTGTCGAGGATTGATTCTGCAAGTTCGAAGTTGTCAGGTTCAAAAACTTGGCGGGATTCGCTCGAACCTTAGCGCGGCCCGTCCTCTCTCGGTATTGTCTGGGCGAGGCGATGATTTGGATGGATGGAGTTCGAGGATAATGTCAAGAGCGAGCGATGCCATCTTCAATTCAACCAAGCAGACCATGTCACCATCAATTCTGGCTGAAGGCTTCAAGACATACTGGCACCATACTTCTAGTTCACCTCACAAGACCCAGCATTCTATCTCTTTCTCACCGCGAAGCTCTTCGTCTCGTTTTGACTTCACAACTTTAGAACCCTGACCTCTTCAGTAGGAACTGTGCTGATAACTAATTTTCAGGTTCCATGAGCTAACGTCCAGTGTAGGCTTATATCTTAGATGGATTCCAGCGGAGCTTCTTTGCTCGAGAAGCTGAACTCGGACCAAATCTCTAATCTTGCTACTGACCTCCGCGACTACGTAGCGCCACTGCCCGATCTGTGTCAGCCGCTTGCTGCCACCGATGCGCAGTTAAGGACGTTGACGAAGCGTTTCCTTCCGTTCCTCGTACAGAGTACAAAGATCTCCCTTGCTAAGCTGTCCAGTGCCGCAGCAAGTGCTAGCAGCAAGAATGACACACAGACTTCGCAAGGCGCGCCGCTTAATCCCGGCCTAAGACAGTTGCGCGAGCGTGTTTACGTATGGCTGGACATAGCACGAGTTTCGATACACGCGTTTCACATGCTCCGTAACGCGCTGACGAGCAGCACGCAATATCAGAACGAGCGCAACCGCAACGTCCTCATCCACCGACTTCTGACTCTGAAGTTCCCGCAGGATGGAGCAGAGGAAGGTTGGACTCTCTTACAATCCGTGGCATGCTTTCTTCAAGGGAACACTTCGTTCCGCTTGTCCCTTGGTGATCCACCGTCGTCTCACGGACAACGGAAACCTCGCTGGACGACAGTCGATGACGTCAGCGTGCACGACAGTGACGCCGTTCTCGCCTTGAGATCGCCGACCCAGGAAGACACGGATGAACTGAAGACTCTGGTCGTAGGTGCTTCCGTTAACTCGATATCTTGCATTGCAGATATTGTTACCGCTGGTGCTGCTGCCGTCTCTTCTGCCGCTGTAAATGCGGACTCGAAGGATGCGACGCGCCGCGCGACACTGTGGTTGAAACGTCTGCCAGATCTCGGGGCGAAGTTATCTCCATGGCTGCGGTGAGTCTAGCTCATGATTACAGTAGCAGGAGGTCAATTTCGGCAGGTCCAATGTTGATTTTTTATCTTGCTACGTATTGGCTTAGGACCGCAACATAGAAAACAATGAGACGCTTTAAGATTCGAGTTTTTTCGTGGTCAATTGCTCTCGACCTTCGATCTGGGAACTCGTTACCTGATGCTCTCACCCTCGTGCGCTGTTCCCTCTCTATTGCCGTTCGCTCACCAATGTCGTCCATCTCTTCTTCTCCTCTTCTGTACTCCCCAGAGCGCTGGATGCGGATGCGCGTGTTCGAAACGGTCAGATCCTAGTGCGCGCCCTTTCGCAGCTTCTCACAGCGCTGCTTCCTCACGGGAAGGCCCTCGGAGTGACGTCATCGCACGTTATGCAACTGGTGACGCTGCTGGTCCAGAGTGGGGTGGAGTGGTGTGACGCGCGGAGGCTGATAGCGGTAAGGCACCAGGAAGATCTGACCCTGTCTGCTATGACCCATGCACCACAGCGCGTCTTCTTACCTAATGATGTCCAGACAAGCTTGATCGCACCGACCGTGTGCATGGCTTTTGTTTCAGTTCCTATGTTTGTTTTCTCATCGGTTTCCTTGTCTCGGCCAGTTCCTGATCAAGATTGCGGCTTCCGCGGTTGAGAAGGGGCATGAAGCGATGGCCAGGGCCCTGTGGGAGCAAGCACTCACCACACTGATGCAGCCAGCTTCCAAGACCTTGAAGGTAACCAACACATGCACTGAGACCCTACTAGATTCTCAAGCTGCTCCAAGTCACCCCAAGCTGCTTCAACTTGTTGCGAGTCGTTTGCCGAAATCTTACTGTGTCTGGCAGGCGCTGTGCTAGCTCTGCGTGTTACAACAGCAATTCAAACCCCCCTCGTTCCCATGCTGTGTCAACGCATCTGGTGGTTGACTCGTTGACTCCTGCAGTCGGGCAATCCCCCAGTATGCCCCTTGTTGGTGGTGCGAGCGTGCGTGGTGGCGAGCTATGCGTCGCATTCAGTGGACCATGGCGCATCGGGGCACGCGCATCAGTTTCTCCAGCAGCAGCTCTCGCCAGCCAAGGTAGCATGGCTTAAGCCGACAAACTGCAGTGTCACCTCCCCCTTTTTCTTGTCACTCTCTGCTCCCGAGCGCCTCGTCATCCATGTTATCCCTCTCTCTTGCTTCGCTGCCTACCTTTCTTTCCGCATGCAGCCTGGGAGTGCTGTGGCGAGCATCTGGGCTGCTGTTTCCGCAGCTCTGCACCTCGCTACCACCTACTCCATCAAGCGAGACTCATCCAGCAATGCCAAGCCACCCCAGGGCGGCAGCAATAAGGCCAAGGGCCGAAGTGGAGAAAACACGGAGGTGCAGGCGGAGAAGATCGTGGGAGCAGTCCAAACGGCAGTGGCGGGAATTAAGGCGCAGCTGGCTAGGCTGGGGAAAGCAGGGGATGCAGGGACGCGAGAGTCGGAGGAAGGGAGTGAGAAGGAGCGGGCAGTGGCGTTGTGCCACGTGCTGGAGTGTGTGGAGTCAGTGGTGTCCGCGTTCGCCCAGCAGCAGTGGCAGGAGGAGATGGCGCGGCGTGTGAAGGCAGGAACAGGTGGGGCGTGCAGCAGGAAAGGCTCCCAAGTGGAGCGGCTGTGGGCGTGTCTGCAAGACCTGCTGCTCTGTGTGGTGCCAGCTTCTGCTGCGTTCCACAGGTGAGCTTCAACGCCGGCCAACCTGCGCGGCAGATAGTCCATATTTGGTGTGTTGCATGTTGCTCGTCTTGACGTGTTACCATCTTTCGTTTATCTTTCGCTAGCCCTTTCGTCTTGCCCTTTTCGTCTTTTATCTTGAGGTCTGCACTCCCATCCTGCGGTTTGTTGACTCGGACTCTATTCGTCTCTGAAAGCTTCTCTCGTGTCTCCACCCAGGCTGGCTGGTTCAGACCCAGACTTGCAGTACCTGTGCCAGCTCCGCTCAGCTGCGTCCAGCTCCCTCGCTGCTTACCGCCTGGCCCTGCTCTCGCCCCCTGCGGAGAAGGTGAGGGCGATGACAGCCGGTGGCTGAACTAGGGCATTATTCACCTTTTTTTGCAGGAATGCGCTATGTAGAGTTGGGCGATAATCACCATGTTCACCTTGTCTCGGACAATGCCAGCTTCGTTTCGTCTGGCTGAATTCCACGAGTCGCTTCGCCAAGATTCCTTAAATTCTTATTCCCTGGGCACTGCATGTACCTCGGCATGGCAGAGTGCAGCGGCACAGCAGCTGAAGAAGCTATTGGTGGAGGGGCAGAGCGGGGTGGTGGAGGAGAGGGACCGTGAGTGGATGCAGTGTGTGGTGTACAACATGGGCGTCAACTTCTACAATGCCAACCGCTACACTGAGGTACACACGCTGAATGCACTGCACTCGAATTGTTTCTTTTCGCCTCTTCTTACCTCAGATTTTGCATTCCGTTTCTCCAACGCACCTTCCACCTGCCTCGCGCATTATTTTTTCCTTCCCGCAGGCTGTAGAGCCGCTTGCAATAATCTTCGCGGCCATCAAGGCGTCACCTCTGAAGCCCAGGCCAGAGCAGCAGGAGGGGGAGAAGGAGAAGAAGTGGTGCAAGGAGGTGCTGCAGCAGTGTGTGCGCTGCAACCTGCTTGCGCTCTCCCTCAGGCGCGCAGGGCAGCTGGAGCAAGCGCAGCAGGTGCTGGAGGAGGGGCTCCGGCGGTGGGCGGCGGAGAGGGTGGGCAGGGAGGGCGAGCGGGACGGCGAAGGGCAGCTGGAAGGGCCTGCCTTGCTGGCTCAGCAATGGGGAAAGGTAACGCCCCCCCCTTCTGCATCTTGGCGTCTCAGTGATGGTTCCATGGCGGGATTGGACGTTTTAGAGCACTGTTTCAGGGCTAGACTCTGGTACTGTCGAATCTACATTGATCTCGGGTTTTCCAGAGCAAATAAGTTCTTTGCTTCACCTGTCCTTTCGTCGGTCGGTGGCGTGTGCAGGTGCAAGCAGCGAGGATGGAGGCGGGAGAGGAGCACGTGCCCCTGCACGCCATTGAGGGCATAACCAGCGACCCTGCCGCCCTGGAAGGGCTCATGATGCAGGTAGTGAGGGCGACCCGGTTGGAGATGCATCCATCCCCACTGCGTGTGAGCTGAGCTGAGGCCACTATGACATTTGTCCAGAAGAAAGAGTTTTTATTCGGAGGCATTTGCATTTGTTCTCCTGCAGCAGGCTGAAGTCATCTATACTCAACCAATCCATTCGTCGCGATGCTAACACCCCCACCCCCTCCAACCAATGCCGTTGTGTGTATACTACCTGGGCAGGAGCTGTCAGCGTATGAGGAGTACGGGCAGCAGCAGCAGCAGCAGCAGCGGTGCCTGGCAGCCCGCACAGACGTGCTACACCACCTCACCACGCACGTCCTTGCACACCGCCCCCATACCGCCCTGCACCGCGCTGCTGCCTTGCTGGAGCACGCGCGCTGCCTGCGCCTCCTCTCCTCTGCACGGACTGCTACTGGCAGTGGAGTGGTGGAGGGGCAAGGAGGACTGGGGAAGGATGGGGGGTCTGCAAGGGAGAGTCAAATCTGGGACGGGCTGAATACTGCTGTTGACGTCATGGTGCGTGGCTGGCCTTTGTGTCAAGTTGGAGGCGTCTCCCGTTTGAATCCCAATGTTGCTATGGTAGAGTGATTGTCATTTTATGTTCTAGCTGCCTTGGGTGTTACCAAATCCTTTCTTATCAAGCTCCCCCCCGCCCTCTTCCTCTCCCCCTTCCCCTCCCCCTTCTTCCCTTCCCCTTCCCTATGTGGCTGCAGAAAGGCGAGCTAAAGACCAGAACCAGCGCCCTTTGTGGCAACTCAAAGGCGAAGGACCCCCTCACGTTGCTGAGCAACTGGGTGCGGCTCAGGGAAAAGAAGGAGCAGACGGGAAGCACCGGCGGTGCTGGAAGTGCGAGTACAGGGGCTGGTGAAGAGGGAGTGCGTGCGGTGGTGGAGGTGCTCCGATGCTGTGCTGCTGCTCTCAGCGTCAGGGGCATGTTCACGTACGAAATGCAGCCAAGCAACCAGGTATGGGATATACAGGGTCTTTGTTTCAGCCATCTCAAGTCGTTTTATCTAGCCCTGACTTTCTACCCGTTTCCCTTTAGTCCTCTTGTTTACCATTTACGTTGCAGTCGAACTCATAGTGCTGCACCACCTGTACCAACGTCACAGGCCGCATGGGAGGACCTAACAAGAGCATTGGACCTCTGAAGCACGGCACTGCGCCTCTCCCCATTGCCCTGGCCAGCCTCCCTCCTCTCCCGAGCCTCCGAGTGCCAACTCCTTGCCTCCTTGATGGACCTTCTGTCCCTTCAGGTATTTATTCAGATCTCCCTTCCATCTCCTTCACTTAGCACGTATCATCACATCGTGTGATCACATGGAAAATGCTTCGTCGCAGACCATTCTCAGTAGTTGCCTCATGTTTAACTGGAGCGCTCAATCCTGTATGTGCCTTATTCATTTCTCCCTGTGCCGTCCCCATCTCCCACGTGCCGTCCCTTTTGCACTGTCTCCCTTATCCTGCCCTCTCTTCCACGCCAGGCCTCATCACACCACCTCATGGCTCGCCATCTAGCCCTGCGACTCGCATGCTCCAGACGCCCTGCATCTGCCTCTGCCTCTGCAGAACCTGGGAAGCAGCAGGAGAGTGCAGAGTGGGAAGACAGAGCAGAGGTGTACTATAGGCTATTCGGCAATGCTCGGCCATCACACATGCTCTGCGCACTTGCTCTACCTTCCGACCTGCCTGCGGGACCTGCCTTGCATGGGACAACAAGTGGCAGTAGTGACGATCCGGACTGCACAGGGAAGGGGTGTGGAAACAAGGGCACGGGGGAGGAGCCGTGGGGCCCAGGGAGTGGGGAGTGGTCGCTTCTGAGAGCAGCAGTGGCGTTGCATGGCGGATGTAGCGAGGGGGAGAAAGTGGTGCAACAGCTGAGCAGCATGCTGAAGAATCAAGGCGACGAGGTGCGGGTTGGGAGCATGAATGCCCTGCTCTGGTGCTCTGGATTGGCGCCCCTTGCATGCTGCACTTGCCGCTCTGCTTCAATGCGCATGTTGGTTCAAAGTCAACATGTGGCTACCAGAAGAGCAGCAATAACCTTCCATGCCGTGACATGCATCCCCATGCATCCATTCATTTATCCATCCCTCCCCCCCTCCCTCCCTCCCACCCTCCCTCCCTCCCCTCCTCCCTCCCTCCCACCCTCCCTCCCTCCCTCCCTCCCTCCCTCCCTCCCTCCCTCCCTCCCTCAGACGGTGAAGACGGTGAAGGTTATTGCCTTTCAGAGCGGGCTGCACTTCTTGCTCGCACACCATCACATGGCACGCGGCCTCGCCACCAAGGTGACTTGCTTGCTCCCCTCTCTGTGCATGCATCGCATAGTGCAGCACCAGAAACTTGTGCTTGGGGGACCAGGGAATGGGGATGGGGATGGGTAGGGGGGCAGAAAGGGAGACATGGCAGGGGGCGAGGATCCCTTTGGGAGGAAATGAGGGATATAGTGTGATGGTAATCAATGCGAAGGAAGGCACATCTTTTGAGTTGGCTCAAAAGTCAACTCGAATGAGGGATAGAGTGTGATGGTCATTAATGCGGAGGAAGGCAGATCGCCACATTCTGGCGAATGTCTTCCGACCTTCGAGTTCAATGCTCATGTCCTCCTTCCTCTTGCTTCAACACCTCCTTTCATTCACCCTCCCCGTTTTCCCAGGCGTACCACCATGCGTCAGAAGCGTACAGGTGGCGCGTTGCCGCCTTCTCCCACGTCTTCACCCCGGCCTCCCGAGAGGCCATCACTGCTGCCACTGACGCCGCCATGCCGGCCCATTCCGCTGCAACCTCTGCTGCTCCTGCCGCTTCCGCACCTGGAAACGCTGCTTCTGGCGCTGGCGGTGGTGCCGGTGCTGGTGCTGGTTCTAGTGGCACCTTCCTCACTGCTGCCTCTTCTGACGCCTCCCTCATTACATACGTGACGGCTCACGAAGGATCTTTCGCCAGCGCTGCCACCGCAACCACCACCACCACTACCGGCATGACTGCTGGAGGCGGCGTTGGAGGGGGCTGTGAGAAGCAGGAGGCGCAGGGCGGGAAGAAGCACGTGCCTGGGCTTCAGCACAGGGTGCAAGAGGGGGAGCACCTGGTGGCGACGCATGAGGCCACGAGGGACATGTGGCCTGCTGTGGTTGGCGGGCGGCAGGTGGACGTGGCAGGCAATGGTGTTCCCAGTCCGTGGAGGCTCGTGGCTGATTATGTGGATAGCCTGCACCAGGTGAGGGTGTGGGAAGGGAGGAAAGTGGACTGCGTTTTTGCTTGTGTGATGGACTTGAGATACAGAGGGCAAGTGTTATTGTGGGCTTTTCTCCCATTACTTCTGCTTCACAGCTTGTCTTTTCTCTCTCAGTATTATCATGTTCCCCGTTGGATATCAACCCTCAATCGCTCACACGTGTCCATCCTGCTGTCTTTCTTTTCCTCCCCATGTCATTCAGCTGGGGAGCGTGTTCGAGCACCTGGGTATGACTGATGAGGCGGAACGGCGCTTCACAGAAGGCCTTCACATTGCCCGTGCTCTGGCTCTCCCACATGCCCAAGGCATCTTCTCCTCTTCTCTCGGTGGGTGCATGGAACCGGTATCAGCCTCTGCCCTCAATGCTTAATCTAGACAGCTATCGGTGCATCCTTGTAATAATTTCTGCTTCTTCTCTTATCTCATCTTATCACACCATCTTCGTTCCAATTTCCTTGTTTCTCTTCACCCAACACTGCTCCCTCCCTCCGTACACCTCCCACCCTCCGCTTGAACCCTTTCAGGCCATCTCAACCGCAAGTGCAGGAACTGGCACAAGGCCGAGCAGCATCTCTCACATGCAGCTGCTCTGCTGCGTGCTGCTCCCACCCACCCCTCCCACGCACACCCACTTGCCGAAGCCACCTGCCGAGGCTGCGCTTCCATAGCTGAGTCGAACCTGCAGCAGAGGCTCGGGGACCTGGCTAGGCGGAGAGATGATCTGGAAGGTTTGGGGCTGCAAGGGGTGAAGGGCGGGCGTGAGAATGCTGAGGAAGAGGAGGAAGAGGAGGTGAGCTCTGCAGTAAGGCCATCAAGGAGGAGAGAGGGCGTAGGGGAGAAGAGAGGGAAGAATGGTGGCGATGAAAGGGGGAGTGGTGGTGATGGGTGGGACGGAGCGGTTGAGCACTACAGCAGGGCTGAGAAGGTAGTAGGGCAGTTGGTGCCTTGGTATGGCGAGGTGAGGCGGGCGTTTGAAGGGCAAGTGGAGGGGTTGATGGGGGAGGGGTGGGAAGGCTCTGATGGTCTACAGGAGGAGGAGGACGAGGAGAGGAGTGGATGCTTTGGTGGTGCTGGTGGGGATATGGATGAGGCGCCAGAGGAGAAGGGTGATGTGCTGCCGTGCAAGCTTCTGCAGAGATTTGAAGTGGAGGCACACGAGGCGGAGGAAGGCTGTGGGGATGAGAGGCTGAAGGGCGGTGAAGGAGGGAGTGTGGAGAAAGGCGGGGCAGGGGATGGTTATGATGCTGCAGGGGAGGAGGATGAGGAGATGAGCGCAGGGAAGGGGAAGGGAGGGAAAGGTAAGGCCACGGGTAAAGCCAAGGCCAAGGCTAAGGCTCCAGGGAGGAGGGCGTTGGGCGAGATAAAGATGAATGGGGTGAAAGCGGATGGGGCAAAGAAGTCGGGGCATGACGTGGATGGAAGCAGTGGAAGTCCGGGGCCGAAATTGCAGACGCCAGCAGTTGAGGAGGCACAAGTGGTTGCTGCTGCTGCTGAGGCTGTACAGACGAGACAAGGGAAGGCACCTGGAAAGGTGCGAGCAAGAGGGAAAGCAGGCGGAAGTGAGAGTGAGAGGGGAGACGGGGAAGTCGAGGAGGGGAAAGGGAATGGCACACAGAGCAAAGCGGTGGGAATGGGAAGAAGAGGAAGCAGGGCAAGTGCAACAGGAGGGCGAGGACGCAGTAATGCATCTGTCAGGGGAGGGAATAAAGCAGCTGGTGTAGACGGGGAGGAGGATGATGTTGTGGAGGTTATTGAATCAGACAGTGACGAGGATAAGAGTGCAGCAGAGGAGGTTGCTGGGACAAAGCCAGCTCGCAGGAATTCAAGGCAGGGGGTGAAGGCAGGTGCAGCGCGAGGCTGAGGAGACGGGAGTGAAGGCAGGTGGGCGAAGGCTAGGAGGGAGGTGCACACAGGCCAAGAAAAGAACGTCAACTACGGGTGTAGGGGATGTGGATGGAAGTTCATTCTCCACTGTTTCTACAGTTTCTGCCTTTGCTGCTGCTTCTACTGCTGCGACTCCTGCTCCAGCTGGTGGTCTGCGGAGGAAGGTCAAGTGTCCAGTGGAGGTGGTGTCGCTGCTGACTGATAGTAGTTCCAGTGATGCAAGCGATGGAGAGGCACAGAAGGCTGACAGTAACGAGGTGAGCAGTAAGAAGAGTACTGTGGTTGTAAGGACTGCCAAGAAAACGACTCAAAAGGCAGCAGCAGGAGCAAGGGGTGTCAGGCGTAGGGTTGGAGCTAAGGCAGAGAAGAAGCAGAAAGAAGAGGAGGAGGGAAAGGGGGAGGAGGAGGAGGAGGAGGAAGAGGATGACATGGCGGGTTTGTTTGGATCTTGCCAAAAACGCGCTCTGAAACGATCTGTGCGCACGCCAGCAAGCAGGGCGAGGAGGCGACAAGTGGTGGAGGATGAGGCGGACGAGAGCAGTGGCGGTGTGGAGGAGTTTTTCAGTCCCGTGGAGATTGCAAGAGGCGCTGATACCACTGCCAGACCGAAGGATGGGAGACAAGGAAGGGGGAAATTGTGGGTAGAAGGGGTGGACGTGGGATTGGAGTGGAGTTGGAGAGCTGAGGAATGGAGGGCAAAGGATGGGGCCATGTGTGAGAAAGAGTGGTGGAGTGTGGGAGGGGCAGGGTGGGAGTTGAAGAAGGAAGTAGCTGGTGCAGGGGAGACGCATGAATGGGTGAAGGCAGCGTGGATGGCGGCTGCAGTGGAGGCACTGGTCAACTCACTGCTCTCACAAGGTGGGTGTTGGGAAGGTGACAATGGGCAGGAGGAATCATGAGTGGGATTCGTAATTGTGTGAAATGATGTAATTCTTAAGCCGTCACTCCTTTCTTGATTACAATATTCTGGTTGCAAAATGCCATGCATCTGTTGCGTGCTCCTCACGAACACCCTAATATAATTTCTGCTTCACCTCCCTGTTCGTTTTCCACCTGAACCAACAGCGCGCTGCCACATGGAAGCCTGCAATTGGTCCGTGGCAGGCCACCTGCTCCGCAAGGCGCTGGCAGTGGTTGCAAGGAGCAGCAGCACCTCGCTGCACGCCCGCACAACCCTCCCCTCCAACGCCTGCTGCTCACTCCCCTCCGCCACGTCCCACTCTTCCTCCACCTGCCCCTGTGGGGAACCCTTTTCGGATGGACCTGCATCAGTGGGAAAGATGGGGCATTCTCAGCGGCAAGTGCGGGAGGAGCAGGGGGAGTATGCGGAGCAAGGGTGGTTGCAGGACGTGCAGGTGTGCTGCCAGCAGCAGGCGAGCAGTCCTCTGGTTCGAGCTGCCCTGCTGCTGAACGTGGGGCGGCTGTCACTGCTGCTCCTGAACAGGCAGCACCGGGGGGGTGATGCGGGAGTGGGGAGGTGGGAGGGGCTGAATGTGGGTACAGTGACGCACTGGCTGCTGCACGCAGCTGCTCTCTCCTCCGAAGCTCCTCTGCTCTTCCGCAAGGTGATACCTCTCCCTCTAGTCAATCTAGTAAATCCCCTCTTCCATGTTGTCCCTCATGCCACACCCCATGCTGACGATGGCAAAACATAGTTGCTGATGTCCTTCTTTGTCTGTCAATTGGCCCTGCTGCACTGTGCTCTTGCTCATTCAATTCCTTGTTATGCCTATCGTGTCACATGTGGCCTTGCTGTATGCACCATGTCTCTTGGATCGCAATGCAGATGTTTACTCGGCCTCCTGTGCCTCCCAACCCGCTCTGCACCCCCACCCACAGGTCGCGCACCTCATCGCCACCACGTGCGCCACTCCCCTCACTGCCACCCAGCGCAACCACGACCCATCGCACCCCCTGTCGCTCTCGCACCACATTTCCCACCTCCGCGCCCTCTGCTCCTCACCATGCCACTCTGCTGCTTCTGCTGCTCGTGGGGGCGGTGGTGCTGCTGGTGCTGCTGGTGCTGGTGGTGGTGCGTGTGAGTGTGACCCTGCGCTGCTAGGGGCTCTCTTCCACGCTGCTGCAGTGGGCGCCACCAGCCGCATGCAGCATGTGGCACAGCTCATGGCGCAGCAGGGCAGGCAGGGCGAGGGGAAGGTGGTTACGAGCAGGGAGGCGGATGGACGGGTGGAGGACAGGCATGTGGTGCACGAGAGAATGCTGGATGCACTCAGGTGCGGCTGCAAGAGGCGAGAGCTGCTGGGCACATTTTACATGGGAATGCTTGCCCTATCTTTCTGCTGGTTGTTTGCTGTAGTGCCTGCTCTGTCCAATTTTGTCATGACTTCCAAGCTCAAGACTCTGCATCTGGATGGGGCTGGTGGTGCACATCAGTGCTTAACACCCATTCCCCCCTCGTTCCCCCCACCCTCTTTCTCTCTCCGCTCCCACTCGCTTTGTGTCACAGGTTGCCCGTGTGCCCTCACCCTCGTCACCTCGCCCCCTCTCTCCGCGCCTTCCACCAGCACATCAGCCGCCTCCCCTCCTCGTTTCCTGTCATCCACGTGAGTGCTCTCGAAGGCGCGCCACACGCACACGGGGGTTTGGTGCCTGCGTTCCAAGGCCAGGCAGGGAGTACGAGTGTGGGGAATGGCAGGGTGCGCAAGGAGGCGTCATGCTTGCTGCTCACTCGCGTTGCTGCTGGCGCTCCGCCTCTGCTGCTGCTTGTACCGTGCACTGCTGCTGCCGCTGCTGCTGCTGCTGCTGCTGCTGTTGGTGGTGGTGATGCTGCTTTCAGTGGTGGGGCCGTGACAGCAGGAGGAGCTGGGCAGGCCGGATTGGGAGGTGGGAGCACGTGGGAGGATGCAGGAGAGGAAAGCTGTGTGGAGGAGGGTCAAGGGAGTGCTAATGGGCCAAGCAAGAAGGGAGGGCGAGGGCGAGGGAAAGGCAAGGCGGAGAGTAAGGAAGCAGCAACTGCAGGCAGAAGCAAAGAGGCAGGGAAGAAGGCTGCTGGGAAGGCCACTGCGAAGGCTGCTGCAGCAAAGGGGAAGGTAGGAAAGGGGAAGAAGGGAAAGCAGAAGGATGAGGTTTCCTCTCGATCTTCCTCGCCCTACTCCTCGCCTGTTTCTGCTGCCTCGTCCTGTGAGTCTGAGTCTTCCTGTGTCCGCGACCGGCCTACCAGACACGACCCCACAGCACAGCACAGGACAGCAGCTGCTTCTGCAGCAGTGGTAGCAGCAGCAGCGGTGGTGGCGGCGGTGGCTGGAAGGGTGACAGGTGGAGGGAGGGAAGGTGCAACACCAGCCACAGATGCAGGGGGGCAGCAGGGGAGGCAGAAGGTGCAGTGGATTGAGGGGCCGATGCAGCAGACGAGGAGGGAATTTGAGGCGATTATGAAGGAGAGCAGTGCGTCTATGGCAGCGGGCACGAGTGCAGCATCGAAGGAGAGCAAGGCAGCATGGTGGAAGTGGAGGTTGACGCTGGATGAGCGCCTGCAGGCCATGCTGAGAGGCATGGAGAGGCAGCTGCTGGGTCCGTGGGCGTTTCTGCTTCTCGGACAGCCCAGTGAAGGTGATGCGGCTGATGCTGCTGATGGTGGGTCCGTGGCTGGTGGTGTCTTGTCGGCAGCGGGAAGGGAGCTTGCGCGGGTTGCTGGCGTTAAGGCTGGTGCTGGTGGTGGTGGAGAGGGGTGGGGTGCGGTAGCAGGGTGTGAGAGGGCGAGTGGGGCAACGGAGTGCAGGTGTGATGACCCTGTGTGCTCGCTGGTTGCTGCACAGCAGTCCCTGCAGCTGCAGCGTGCAGCCTTCCTCATTCACCTGCTGTTCCGTGCTGCTTCTGCTGCTGGGACAACGCACAAGGCTCCTAACACAGCTGCTGCTACCTCGTTGGCTGCATCTGCAACTGCCTCTGCTGCCCCTGTTGCTGTTTCCTTTTCACTGGAAGAGCTTGCTGCTGCAGCTCACCAGACACTCTCAGCATTGCTGCTGTTGGAAGGGGGAGGAGGGCACATGTGTGCGAGAGCAGCTGCAGCGGTGGAGGCACAAGGAGAGAAGATGAGGCAGATCATTGACAGGGCCCTTCAGGAAGCAGCAGAGGCTGCTCCTGCAGCTGCTCCTGCTGCTGCAGGTGGAGGAAAGGGAGGGGGCGCTGGTGGTGGGGCTGCTGTGAGGCGTGGCAGCAACGGGAATGGGGCGCGAGGGTCGAAGAAGGTGGAGGTGCAGTTGAAGGAGATGGGTGGAGGGAAGCGTATGGTGCAGTGGCAACCGGTGCAGCTGATTCTTGACAGCGCCATACAGGTGGGTGGATGTGACTGAAACAGGGAATCCTCTCTACAGGACAAACCCATCATAAATAGAAAAGGTTCAAATTCGTAAACTCTGTGGGAACCCATTATTACCCATGTTAAACCCTCCTGTTCTCCCTTTTCACCCCTCCCCATTCCTCTCCAGGCACTGCCATGGGAGGGCCTGCCGTGTCTGGCTCAGCAGCGCATCTACCGTCTGCCCTCCTTCACTGCTCTGCTCTCCCTGCTCACTCACCACCAGCACCACCAGAAGTCGCAGACGCAGCAGCAAGGGAGGGTCAAAGGGAGGAAGCAAGGTGTTGGAGTGGGTGGGAGTGGGAAGGCGGGGCAGGGAGCAGAGGGGCAGGTGCGGGTGAGTGTGGACGCGAGGAGTGAGTTTTACCTGCTCAACCCGTCTGGGGACCTCAAGTCCACTCAGGGCACGTTTGAGGCGTGGTTCAAGCAGCAGCGCACATGGAAGGTGAGCTGCCATGCTTTCAACATGCACGTGCCTCTCTGCATGCGCATGCACGATTTACTCCCTGGGTATGTCATTTTGTTTACACCCGTGCATGTGTATGGATGCATGTGCTTATGCATGTGAAATATCGTATGGTTAATTCTCTTGTTTTCAACCTTTACCTTTGTCTCCTCTCCTCTCATCTCTCTCTCTCTCGTGTTGGTGACATGCAGGGCAAGGTGTGTGAGGCGCCATCAGAGGAGGAGTTCATGAAGGCACTGGAGCACTACAGCCTCTTTGTCTACTGCGGCCATGGCAGCGGTACCTCCATCCTCCTCATCCCCCTCGTCTTCCTTCGAGTCCTCGTGCTACCAACACTCTATACCATTCATTTTGCTGTTCTTGTGTCTTGCTGGTTGCTCGTTGTCTTTTTGCAAGTGCCTCTGTCGAGCTCCATTTCTGCTCGCCTTCCAAGTCTTCATCACAAGTGCACCCCTCCACACACACACTCCACGGCCTTCCTGCCTCGCAGTCTCCACCTTCCCCTCTCTTCTTTCCTCTCCTCTCCTCAACCGTCTTCCTCCCTCCTCCCCCCAATTCCCTCCCACCAGGTGAGCAGTACCTGCATCGCTCGTACCTCAAGAAGATCTCTCGCTGTGCGCTCTCTCTCCTCATGGGCTGCAGCAGTGCGCGCCTCTCCCCCCGTGGCGACTACGAGCCCCTGGGCGTGCCCCTCAACTACCTGGCTGCTGGCTGCCCTGCCATCGTGGGTAACCTATGGGACGTCACAGACGGGGACATTGACAGGTACTCACAGCGGATTTTGGAGAGCTGGGTTGGGAAGGCTCGGGTGGTGGGGAGTGGGAGTGGGGTTAGGGAGAGGGAGAAGCGTGGGGGTAGTGCGTGTGAGTGTGAGAAGGTGGAGCTTTGTGAGGAAGGGGAGGGGGGAGGTGGGGAGAGGGGGGATTCGGTGTTGGTGCTTCCGGAGTGCAAGTGTGTGTGTGTGGGAGGGACTGTGGCGGAAGCGAGGAGTGTGTGCCGGCTGCGGCATTTGATTGGGCTGGCTCCTGTGTGCTATGGAGTGCCGTGCTCCCTGCAACCAGCAGAGCCCACATGAGGACGAGTGTTAGAATCAAGTGTCACCACTGCCAGCAACCATGTTTTACCGTAGTTTATTGGAGTTTGTGTGCTGGTTGCACCACAATTATGTCGACAATTTGCATTGTACTGCTGACACTGTTTTAAACCTCCTACTGATTGACAGTTTGCCTCGGTGATGTCAAATGTAATCGCATCACATGCAAGTGGATGATACCTCGCATATGCAGAGGAGTTTGATACCTCATACGGCTGCTTAGACTGTTATTACTATAATTAGAACGGGGTTAACAAGTAATGCTGGGAGGACAGCCATGCCAGGTGCACATGTCTTGCAGCACTGAATCCAACCCCTTGGGAGCAGAAGCCAGTTGTGTTGCAAGTCAGTTCAATCTACGGTAACTCCTCGTGAACTTCAATCCAAGTGAGCAAGATGTGCGGCAAGGGCATCCACAACACCTGCAAAGCTGCTGAACTGCTGGCTCACCACGTCCACAGGCAACCCCGCGTTGCGCACTCCCTCCGCTGTCACCGGCCCGTGCGCTGCCACCACCACCCCCCGCCTGCTCACCCCACTGCCGTCTGCAGCATCAGCACCAGGAGGGGAATGAGGAGGTTGCGATTCGTGTCTGCCCAGGAAGCGCAGAGGGTCCACGCCCATGGCATGGCAGCAGGCCACAAAGCCCTGTGCCTCTGCCGTGCTTGAGAACACCACGGCAGCGACTGACGGGTGCATGCTCACCGCCCCTTCTGCTGCTCGTAACTCACCCAACTCACTGCCTTCCCCGTCCCCACTATCTCCTCCCCCTCTCCATTGTGAATTGCTGACACCAGTAAGAACGGGCATGAGGGCACGGGTGCCAGTCCAGCGGGTGACATAGCAGTCGATACGCAGCACTCGCCAGCCTCTTTCCTCCAAAGCACGCAGGAAAGAAGGCACCACGGGGGGCTCTTCTAGCCCTTCCACCCGCGGCACAGGGCATGCTACTATGCGCCCGTCCCCTGGACCCAGGGCGTCTGCTAGGGCCAATGGCGTGGCTACAGGTGGCAGGACGAGGCGTGTGGAGGGGTGGGAGATGATGGGGCCGAGAGAGGAGAGGAGCTCGGCGTCCCGACCCAGAGCGCCGATGAGGAGAGGAGAGCACGGCGCGGTGCTGAGGGGTGTGGTGCTCTGCTGCTGATGTTCCTGCTCGTCCTGCTGCCTCTGTTCCTCGCTTTGCTGCAGTCGCTGTTGCTGTTGTAGGGGTTGCTGGGGTTGGCTGGGAGCGACTGTTGCTCTCCATGCAGCTGGCAGCGCGTGCTGTGGCAGCCGCTGCACCGCATTCGCAAAGGCCGTGATGCCATTGCGCGATGTGAACGCTATGGCTGCCACATCCTGCACCCCCTCACTCACTCCCTCACTTACTCCCTCACTCACTCCCTCACTCGCCCCGCCAGCGTCCTCGCTCTGCCGCCCGCCCCCAGCCCCCACAAGGAACCGTTCCACTGCTCGCCGGCACGCCTCATCGCCCACGTCTGTCGCCACCATACTGCACGCCACTGCTTCTCCGCCTGCTGCGCGCACTGCCGCGCTCAGCGCCGCGTCGTATGGCGCAGGCGCGGTCACTAACACCACCCGCCCCGCCAGGCGGTTTCCGCTTCCCCCGTCCCCACGTGCGCGTTCTTCCCCCGCGCCTGCCGCTCCTCCCCCGCGTTCCGCGTGTTGACAACGTGCGCACGCCGCTCGTGCGGAGCTTCTCCTCGACAAGGCGCGATGGGGTTTACCGCTTCGATGGCGGGAAAGCCCTGCGCTAAGTCCGCGCGGAACGACCCCCGCGGAAAAGCGGTTTCCGCCATGGCGAGCAGAAGCATGCAAGCAAGGCGCTGTGAGGCAGCAGGGTAGCAGCAGCACAGCCGGGCGGGTTTCCCGAAGGGGAGCGACGGGAAGAAAGGTGGACGCGGAGAGAGGATTGTGGCGCGAAAATAGGAATGTAGCCATGGGATGATTGTGCTGATGGAGAGGGGATGGGGGATCGAAAGGCTTCACCCGTGAATTCTGGTCGCAGAAACATCTCGCCTCAAGATGGCTTTTTTTAACAAGCTGTTCAAGAAAAAGCTTCGGTTACAAGCGTTAAAAATATATATTACAGAACGTTTTTTGGTAGTGCATCACGGTACACTTCGACGTTCAAGACTTGAACAACGACTTGTAACTTTCTTTCCCCGTTAGTGCAATACTCATATCCACGCGTAACAGCCTAGATGACTTATGGCTCTGAGAAGAATCATCACCAAGTTGAGGTGAAATCATTCATAGTTGCATCTCAGCAGATCCAAGCTGGAGACACAGCGGCTGGAGCCCCGTGGCATGGCGCAGCGACGTGTGCCGAGGTTGCGACGGAAGGGGCACGAGGAGGAACAAGAGGAGGCGCGTGTCACGACATGCGCCGATATGCGTCCCCAGGAGACGATTTGTTCGCAGTTTGGGGTTATTCGTACGAATGGCGATGCGGTTACCATTCGCGAGGAGCACGCAGGCTTCATCGTCCCAGTCGAACACAACCATCGCGAGTCATCGCTCGGGTGGTCGTCATCCGACCAACGCGCTGCCGACGAATCGCTGCCTCGCCTCGTCACAGCAGCGCCGCGGCGTTGCGAAGGGCCAGCACGAGGTGTCGTCTGACTGGCACCGCATCTCTCGACCTGGCGTCGACCGGGAACCGGCGGATCAGCGATGCTGGTCGCACGGTGCTGGGAAACCTGTTTTGCGGAGCCGCATCAGGAACGTCGTGAATTCTTTGCGAATTCTCGTCCTCCTCGTTCGTCCAGTCGCGAGATTCGACGGCGGAACGCGTTCCTCGACTGACCATCACTCGGCGGCGTGAGTGGAGGGAGGGGGGGTGGGTCCCCGAACGTGGGTCGAGGCAGTAGCGCTTAAACTTTTCGACAAAGCTGCGGGCGGAAGGGCGAAGGAGAGGAAGACGGAACGGCAGAGGAAGGGCGGAGGAGCGGCGGAAAGGGAGCGGTGGGCAATGGAGGACCCGCGGCGCGACGCGGTGGCGGTGATCGGCGCGCTGGTGACGCGACCGACGCTGCAGCGGCAGGCGGAGGTGATTCGGCGGTGCTTCTCCCCGCGCGTGCGCTTCACCCACTTCCTCGTAGACGTCGCCACTGGCGCCGCCGACCTCACCTGCATCTACCAGGTGCGGTGGTATGGGGTGATGTGGGGTGAAGTGCGGTGGGGTGGGGTGTGTGTTGGGTGGGGTGACGTGGAGTGTGGTGAAGTGCGGTGAGGTGGGTGTTGTGACCGCCTGAACGCATCCACTAGGTGGGTTGTCCGCTACGCTCAGCGTTGTGCAGCGCAGCGACCCAAGCCCCAGCGGCTCCTCGCCACGCCAGGTCCGTTGGGGGAGATAGGCGGAGACAAGGGGGGGGGGTGGATGGGGGGGGGCGAGAGGAGGGAAGGAGAGCAGGTAGGGGTTGCAGCTAGAGGAGAGAGAGGAGAGAGGGTCGAAGAGAGTGGAGAGAGGGGAAAGGAGAGAGGAGAGAGTGGAGAAGGGAGAGGAGAGACGGGGTCCTAGACGTGAGGATCTGAGTTGTGACGTGCATCGGTGTGTGGCGATGTTTCAATCCATAGCGTCAACCACACCTACCACCGCAGCCGTACTCCATACCTCTGCCCACCCTCCTCTCCTTCCTCTCCACCCTCCTCACTGCCCTCCTCTCCTCCTCTCCACCCTCCTCTCCCTCCTCATCCCTGCCCCTCCCCCCAGATGGCGCACGTGGTGTTGCAGTACCAGGGCGTGCGAGTGCATCGCGTGCGTGCTGTACTCCATACCCCTGCTTCCACCTCCTCTCCACTCTCCCCTCTGCCCTCCTCTCTGCCCTCTCATCCCACCCTTCCCTCAGATGGCGCACGTGGTGTTGCAGTACCAGGGTGTGCGGGTGCACCGCGTGCTCTACGACCCGGTGGAGGACGCACTCACTCTCTACGTCACTGTCTTCACGCGCCCGCTCTTCAAGCTCGGCTTCCTTGCCCACTTTGACCTGTGTGTGCTGCTCGAGCTCGAAGACATCCCACTGGTAACGCTCAGAGCCCCTCTCCCTGTCCGCCCCTCTCCCTGTCCGCCCCTCTCCCTGTCCGCCCCTCTCCCTGTCCGCCCCTCTCCCTGTCCGCCCCTCTCCCTGTCCGCCCCTCTCCCTGTCCGCCCCTCTCCCTGTCCGCCCCTCTCCCTGTCCGCCCCCCTCCCTGTCCGCCCCTCTCCCTGTCCGCCCCCCTCCCTGTCCGCCCCTCTCCCTGTCCGCCCCTCTCCCTGTCCGCCCCTCTCCCTGTCCGCCCCTCTCCCTGTCCGCCCCTCTCCCTGTCCGCCCCCCTCCCTGTCCGCCCCTCTCCCTGTCCGCCCCCCTCCCTGTCCGCCCCTCTCCCTGTCCGCCCCTCTCCCTGTCCGCCCCTCTCCCTGTCCGCCCCTCTCCCTGTCCGCCCCTCTCCCTGTCCGCCCCTCTCCCTGTCCGCCCCTCTCCCTGTCCGCCCCTCTCCCTGTCCGCCCCTCTCCCTGTCCGCCCCTCTCCCTGTCCGCCCCCCTCCCTGTCCGCCCCTCTCCCTGTCCGCCCCCCTCCCTGTCCGCCCCTCTCCCTGTCCGCCCCTCTCCCTGTCCGCCCCTCTCCCTGTCCGCCCCTCTCCCTGTCCGCCCCTCTCCCTGTCCGCCCCCCTCCCTGTCCGCCCCTCTCCCTGTCCGCCCCCCTCCCTGTCCGCCCCTCTCCCTGTCCGCCCCTCTCCCTGTCCGCCCCTCTCCCTGTCCGCCCCCCTCCCTGTCCGCCCCTCTCCCTGTCCGCCCCCCTCCCTGTCCGCCCCTCTCCCTGTCCGCCCCTCTCCCTGTCCGCCCCTCTCCCTGTCCGCCCCTCTCCCTGTCCGCCCCTCTCCCTGTCCGCCCCTCTCCCTGTCCGCCCCTCTCCCAGTCCGCCCCTCTCCTTGTCCGCCCCTCTCCCTGTCCGCCCCTCTCCCTGTCCGCCCCTCTCCCTGTCCGCCCCCCTCCCTGTCCG